ACTTTGAGTCGGACCACGACGAAGCACCAGCATCACCACAAGCAACTGCTGTGCCAGACACGCCTGTTCCACCAACAGGCGTGTCTGGCACAGCAGTTGCTTGTGCTGATGCTGGTGCTTCGTCGTGGTCCGACTCAACGTCCCAAAGGAGCAAACCACATACGGTCTCCGATGCCCATGACCGCAGCATTGAATCGAGCCATGGCAGCAAAAGTCTTTGGAACATTCATGTTCGAGTTATCTTCGCATTTTCCACGGCTTTTTTGGTCGCCTTCTTGCTCCATGCTAGTGTTGTTCTTCACCTGCTCCACATTCAGCTGCTGCTGCGGCTTGTCTTTCGAATCTTCGTGGTTGCCTTCCGCTTCTACGCCTTCACCCTCTTCGCTAGCCTTTGCGTCTGGCTGATCTCCGGCCTCAACATCATCGGCGTTCACCTCCTTCCAGCAGGACGTCAAGAGCTTCAGACGCGCTGCATAGTGTTCGTGGGTATTGGCCAATGAGGTGCCCACAGCGACGACGACCTGACCCATGCCAAACTGGAACTCTGGAGTCATGAGCCCGCCAAGCCTCGAAGCACAAACTTCAAGGAGGATGTTGCGAAAGGCCTCGATGTCGGCCGCGGTGATATCTGCATTCATGTGGCGCAGGGCGATGTACTCTAGGCGCTTCTGGAGGAGTTTCGGTTGATCAAGAGCTTGCAGCAGGTCGGTGAAAAGGTGCCACACGGTGCTGGACCTCTTCAGCATGGCTTCTGTTCGAGGCACCCCCTTCTTCAGCTTGCGGAACACCTTCTCGCCAGCAGCTTTCGGTCCTCCCAGCCGCTTCTCGGTCGTCGCCCAGCCGTTTTGGACCTCCTTGAAGAAGTCTGCCAGCCTCTTCCATGGCACAGTAGATGAGAGGGGTTTCTAAGACTCAGGAGAGGCTGTGACTCCTGCAGGATGGATCGGCCGACAGTTACGCAATGCGATTCAAAGGCTTCTGCTGCATCGAAGCGATAAACCAATCGGCAGGGCTTGCAGTACAGGTTTACGCTATAGAGATCGTATGTGATCGTATGTACGCCATGTCAGTCACCAGCCGCAAGGAAAGCACAGCCACCCCGTCTTAGAGGAAAAGAGCCTTCAACGAGGGATTCCTAGTTTCAGGTCCGCCGAGAAGTAGCGAATGTCTTGAATTGAAAATGGCTTGATTCAAGCTGTTTTTGCCTGCAGGATCGATAAAAGGTCGCGCACGCACACACACAAACACATCACAAACAGCCATCCTTTTCAATCCTTGCACACAGCTTGGATCCGCACTCACTGCCCTGCACAAATGAAAGGTCAGCTGCGTACGACTTTCGGTGCGGTGAGCATGACAGCAAAAGCCGAATTCGCGCATGTCTGTATAACCAAGCTCCGGGCACCCAACCTCGGCCACACCCTGGCGAGTAGATCCAAAACACGCTCTCAAAAGCCAAGAAGACCTGCCCTGCTCTGGACCTCAAATGTCAAAGTGAGTCCATGCCCCAGGTCCATAAGGCCAGAAGCTGTCATGAGATCAAGGTTTAGGGTTGATCCGATCTGATCGACCTATCTACTCCTCAGATACATGCATACACACATATCTACATACACATATGCCCATTATCCCTATGCATGCATGAATATATGTAGCTGTATGTAATTAGGGAGTAGGGAGCGAGGCTTTCTAGGGTTGTTTGTGTAGCCAGGCAAGAGCGAGACTGGGCCTGGGCTCCTCGGCGATTGCCTGCGGGAGCTCGCGAAGATCCCTGCAACTCCACGGGTTTTAGGGTTTAGGGTATAGGGTTTTAGGGTTTAGGGTATAGGGTTTAGGGTATAGGCTTTAGGGTATAGGGTTTACGCTCTCAGAACAGGGTTTAGGGTTTACACTTTCACATCTCGGACAATCCAGGCGAGATCTTAGGTTTAGTCGCAGTGAAGAACAGTGGACCCCGCAGTGACAAAAGGGTTGAGGGTTTTTTTGTTCCCACCCGCCCAGCTGACTAAGTCGCACTGCTAAGGGGTTTCAGAGTGTCACGACCTCCCATAGCCTGGCAGATCGGGCGAGATACTTTTGGTCCCTTTCCGCCTCGTCAGAGTCGGAGGACTGTACAGCATCAAAACTATGAACGACGACAGCACAGGAAGCAACTCAGTACTAACCCTATCGCAGCAGCGGCAATGCCTATACCCAAGAGGCTAGGAGACCTCAGGTCCAGGTGGTCTAGCCACTCCAGTCTCGCGAGGGCTTGACCACCCGACCCCGCTTCGCGGATCGCGTGAGTCGCTGATGAATGCGGCTTGATAGGCGCCGGGACGTGGGAACGAGTCTCCGATGAATGCGGCTTCGTCGTGGGCACCGGGACGGGGGAAACCTCAACGTCAGGGTTGCTGTTGTTGCTGGTGGTCGTAGTGGTAGTGGTGGTGATTGTCGTGGTGGTGGTGCTAATCGTCGCGGTGGTGGTGGTTGTGGTGGTGGTGGTGGTCGTCGTGGTGGTGGTGGTGGTGGTGGTGGTGGCGGCGATCGTCGTGCTGGTGGTGCTGATTGTGGTGGTGGTGGTGGTGGTGGTCATGGTGGTGGTGGTGGTCATGGTGGTGGTGCTGATCGTCGCGGTGGTGGTGCTAATTGTCGTGGTGGTGGTGATGGTGGTGGTGGTGATCGCAGTGCTGGTCCTGGCCTCAGTGGTAGTAGTAGCAAATGTCCCTTTTGTGCAGCACTTCACTTCTTTCTCGTTGCGCTGAAAGAGAATCACTGCCGGCGGAGTGCATGCCGCTTTTGCCCGCAGCTCGCATGTGTAATCCTGGTCGCGGAGGGGTGGAGGGCAGCACGTCACTTTCCCTTTTTTGCGATGCTCCTGAAGTTCGCCAGGCTCGCACTGCCCTTTCCGCACGACGCAGTCTGCTTTCCCAGGCTCTTCGAAGTCGAGCTTCGGCCCCAGGAGCTGGGCAGCTTCTGTCCGGGCTGCTGCCGCCATCCTGACCACGCCAAAGCAAAGGACAGAAAGAAGAACCGCCATGGGAAGCTGATGGACAGGCTCCGAGTTTCAGAAGGACTTCGCAGAACGACTGTGACTAAGCTTGAGATGGAAAACACTAGAGCCACGCGATTCGGGATCTAGGCAACGGCAACGGTTCTCGTGGGCAGGCACCGGCAGATTCACGATTTTTCAGGACTCGCTGCCACAGGAGGTCAATACAGAATGGCCAAAGAAGCACCTCTGAGCAGACTCTCGCGCCAGAGCTGGCCGCGATGGCATTCACATGGAAGTGGACGTCGGACTGTAGAGCTGAAGGGCGAGAGCGCAACTCGCGAGACCACTCCAGCTTCTCACTAGTTTTCGCCTCAAGCTGCAACAGCATGTAGATCTGGGCCAAAGAAGGAATGAACACTGCTTTGGTGCTGAGGAAGAAGTGCAGGAGTCCCAATCTGGTCTGCAGCGCCAGGCTCTGAGTGTCCACTTGCCGCGATCTGGCGGCGTGCGCCAGCAACTCCTGCAACATCTTTCTCCGATAGTAGAACGGATGCAACAGCCCATAGATAACTGCAGCAAAAGCATCTTCTGACAAGACCGCAAAGTCTTCCGCAACGAGCTTGCGTTTCACCACACAGCGAATGGCAGTATGCCGGAAGTCCGCTTTTGCAGCAGCTAAAAACAGGCGGATAGCACTTGGACGCGACAGGGTGTCAGAGGTGCCCGAAACTCTCCCCAGCACGCACTCCCAGAGCCACGCAGAAGGCTGCACCAGCAGTTTTGCAAGTCCATGCAGCAGGAGCACAAGGTGGTCCGAAGAGCAGTCTTTCAGCAACTGGCCCTGCATCGGGCCCTTTTCCACGTGCTGAAGGATTGACCAAATCGGTGCCGTGCTGCCATCCACCAAACCAGGCAAATCGAGCCGCGCTGCGGAATGCACCACGACGCACAACTCTTCGGCTGGCCACTTTGCGAACTGTACAGCGATGGCACTTGAGAGCTCTGCTGCAAGGTCGGCGCCAACGTAGCCGCGCCGGGACAGCGCGGAAATCACCATCACCACCTGGAAGCATCAAGATCAGGGAGTTTGGCGTGGAGCCCTGCGATCATCTCAATGCTTTCATAACTAAAGTTATAAACCCTAAGCCCATAAAAGTAACCCAAGAGAAGAAATAAGGACCCAATGTTAAGAGCCCCGACATGGGCTGAAGGGGCTTCGGAAACTGGTGGTAGGGTTTATATTTTTTCCCCTCCTACAAGGGTTTAGGAGTGCAGGAGTTTTCTGTTTAGGGTTTGGGAGTTGAGGGTTTAAACCCTAAACCCTGGACCCTAGACCCTCAAGCGTAGGGTTTAGGAGTTCAGGATTATATAGGGGGTTAAAGGTTTCCCATGGCCTCAAGGGGCTTCAGGATGGCAACTGATGGAAGGAGACCCACCTCCAGATGCGAAGTCGCCTTGTCGGCCCACTTTGGCAGCTGTGGCTTACCTGGGGATTCTGAAAAAGGGCTTAGGGTTTAGGGGCCTCCTTGTCTTGGTCTGTAAGATCTGGGAAGTATTCTTAAGTCGAAATTCACGGTCGCGAGTCCTTGCTGCATTCCCACTTCTTTCCCGAAACCCCCACCCGGCACAAGAGGTTCAGCACCATCACCATACCGCGAGAGTGCATCGATGGCAAGGGCAATCTCCAGTGGAAGCAAGGCTCCGTCTTTCACGAAGGTTACCAGCTTCGGGAGCAAAGCTCGGACCAAAGCTTCGGCATGGTCCATTGCCCTGGATAGGAATAAGAATAGTGCAGTAATAACAACAATGTTAGTAACCGCATTAAAACTGGCACGAATTATGGTACTGACTACTATATCATAGTAATAATAATAACAATAACAATAATAATAACAATAATAATAATAATGCTAGCGCTTGTGGCCTGGCTTCTTGCCCCAATTTGGTCACTGCATGGGCAAAGGCAGCGATTCCCCGTGGCGCAAGGTCTGGAACACGAGGTAGGCATTCTTCTGAAAGTAGCCTCGTGATGAATACCTGGGAGTTTTGGGGCCGCTCAAGAAACGTATAGAAGAGGTACGTCTTTATAGAAACCACAGGGGATATTTTTTCAATTTTCCCAAAGGTGCCACCTAGATACTTCTTCATCGCAGGAGAGTCGGACCATTGCGCTCAGAAGCACGCAGAGATCCTGGGAAGAATAGCCCTGCTTTGGCGTGGTCTTCAGAGCTGCCATTGCAGCAGGAACCCAGAGTTCTTTCTTCACACGGGCATGTGACAATGCATTCACTAACAATGTCAAATTCCTGGTGGACATTAGCACGAAGTTGGGCACAAACTGCTGGGCAATGGCTTCCCAATTGTCTGTGCTCACATCTGCAGCCGCTTTGCTCAGATCATTCACGCACAGGCTTGCCTGGTGCAGGGCAGGCTATTCGCGGCACCATTCCGCCATTATCACAATCACAACAACTCTTCATGGCAGGGGCATGGATTTCGTTTGCCAAGGCTGCACAACGTCAACGCAGATCCGCCTCGATGAGGATCTCGCTCGTGGGCTCTTGAGCCGCCAGTGCATCCAAGAGACATGTTGCCGCGCGATCCCTGCAGAGTTTCTTGCTCCGAATTGCCGCGCGCAAGCCTCGCAGCCCGAACATGCATCTCCGAAGACGGGAGGCCCGCTCCGCCAATGCCTGAGAGCTATACCAGTCCTACGGCATCGGTGGCACACTGGCGCCTCGCGTCCATTGTTAAAGCATGCGAGGCAGTTCTGCCAGCTCTCGTCTACCGAATTTTGAGCATGGACAGCTGCCGAACAAACCCTAAACTAAACCCTAAACCCCCTAAACCCTGAGCCCAATAATGCGTTGATGCACGCAAAGCACTTCGAGTCCCTGCAGAAGCCTCGCGTGCGGGTCTTATCACGGAATTGCGATCTTGCTCTCTGGCTGTACATAGGTCTTTGCGTTCAAAGGTTTGGGTCCAGGGTTGAATCGCTCATCTGACAGCCCATGCTAGAGATTTCTGCGACCATTGACTGTGCAATGTTCTGGGTTTTTAGGCAGGTTGGGGTGCCTATCCGTTTCGGGGCACCGAAACGCAGCTAGTCCTAATCGCAGCCGACAAGTGAGCACCAGCCGACCTGCCTTGTCTTGTGGGGCAGCCTGTGCCTCGAGTAACTTTCAGGGGTCAGGCTAGCACAGGCCCTAACGGCAATGTGGCCTTCCATCTCTCTTCCACCTTCGCGTCGACTGCCTGAATGCAGGGCCGAACGCATGCATTCCCTATTCGCATGATGCGATATTCCAGGCTGAAGCATGTGATATAAGAAACTTGCTCAATGCTTTCACTGCCTGTCAAAGCTAGCTGCAGCTACCTCTGCTGACCTTTTCGGTCAACTGCACTGGCTAGCGACTACTGGCCTCTTCAAACGCTACTCGTATGGGCGAATGTAAGCCAGTAGCACTTGAGTGTGCACCTGCAAGAGCACATGCTACCCGGGCCACTGAAAGAAACCTTCGATGTTCTCGGCGAGTACACGAATACCACCGAAAAGAACCGAACAACTTTCCATGCATACCTTGGTTTCAGCACTGATCCTGACATCGGAAGCACCCGAGGGGATGGAATGTCAACCACATATTCCGCCGTCCCAACTGCTCCAGCCAAGAATCGTACTCAAATCACTTCCTCGCCGGATGTCGACTTCGACTCCTCGTGCTCTTTGTCCGCACCCTCTGCGTTCATGTGGAGCTAGTCTTCCTGCTGCCGAGTGCTTTCGCAAGACTCAAATGCGTGAGCCTGAAAAAAAACACCCAAGGGGTTTGCATCGTTCCGCTGAGTTGTAGATCAGCCCGTCAGCTTCCCTTCATTTTGCGGAGTGCTTTGCCATCAGAAAGCCACTGAGTTCTGGAACGCAGCTCGGGCTGTACAGTTATGGTACGATGAAACACTCCCTATCAGCCCGGAGCGCCCTGGCTGTGTCTGAATACCCATGCTGCCCATGCGGTTGCGCATAGGCATCGGGTTTAGGGTTGGCAGAAAACTGTGAGTTTGCAGACGTGTGCTCTTCCATGGAGAAGCATCGCGCAGCCTGAGTGCGGAGTAAAGGTGTTGAACCAGGAAACTCGAGTGGTCAAACGACTCTGAAACGTTTGTGCGGCACGGCGCTTCTGAATACTTCTCCGTGCTTTACGCAGCATCCATGCTCTGTGGCAGATGCGCATCTGTATCTGTAACGAGGCCAAACGAGACTGTACACAACACTGCCCAAGTGGGATATGCTCTCATTGCCACAACCGGCAGCGTCGTTCAGCCTGCACCTTGCCTTCCGCAATGACTCCAACAACCGGCCTGAGGAATCTTTGGCACTCTGGTCCAAGCTCGGGGCATCAGAACCCTAAACTCTGAACCTGTCAAACGTGAGGCAGTTCGGTGATGATCTTTGAAAACCGTTGCGACAACTGTGCCTCTGGCCTATGCACGGGACATCACGGCAGCGACGAGGCACGCCAAATTACAAGACCTGTTTTGCAGGGCGGCTTCTGCGGCCAATACAAAAAACCGCGAATCGTTACACTTGTGATGGTTACCATTGTGAACATTTTTATGTCCATAGCTATTCTTATTCTTCTGTCTCTATAATCACAACAAAGAGATTATGCCAACACTAGCACAATACTACGACGTCGACTGCGACTACTACTGCTACTACTACTACCACCACTACCACCACCACCACTACCACTACTACTGCTACTACGACGACGACGACTGCGAGTACTACTGCTACTACGTAGTAATACTACTACCACTACGACGACGACGAAGAACAGGCGGCTACATGTTGATTCCCGGACCGGCCTGCTGGCGACTTCCAAAGCTTCGGTCGTGCGATGATGAGGCTGCACTGAGCCTGGCGAGGCGGTTTACGGTTTTTTTCCCTCTCGCATGGCTGAGGAACTCAACGGTTTACGGTTTAGGGTTTGGGGTTTGCGTGCCATGACGTGATTTGTCTCCTTTTGAACTGGGAGTCGTTTTCGCATTTTTACATTTCGAAATCTCCACTTTAAAACACCAAGCCGTCAACCTCCAAACTTCAGGTGTCCACGTCCAGCCTCTTTGATGCACCAACGTGCAACATGACCCAAGGTAGTTGGCGTATCGGCTGTAGGCGAGCCAGGCTCCGATGCAGAGAGAGTTGGAGACGAGGGATCAGTGCCTCCTCACAGGGGGGCTTTAGAACATATGGGACCCGTATACAAGCCCTCAATAAGCACAGCTTCTACGGGTTGCAGCCCTCACACTGGGAAAAAGCCTGGCGAGCTTGTAGGGGTTCAGGGAAGAAGCTTAGGGCAGCTTAGCTGCACTTTGTAGCACTCGCGCTCGACAACGTCAGGGGGTCCCTGTTACATGAGGCTTCGAAGGTTTCGGCGCTCACAATCGGACAATCCAGGCGAGGTAAGTGGGCTTGAGCTTCGAAGGTTTAGGGTTTCGAGTACTTTCATATTATGGGGTCCGGGGTCATGCGCTTTTTAACGATGTTCGCCCTGCCTTCAGAGTTGCGCCCTCGTGCTCCAAAAACCAAGAAAGCTTGCTGTCCTGGCCGGATGCCAGAAGCTGTGAAAGCCATGCAGACTTCAACATCATCATGCCAAAAAACGATGAGTAGTAGTAGTAGTAGTAGTAGTGGTAGTAGTGGTAGTAGTGGTAGTAGTGATAGTAGTGGTAGTAGTGGTAGTAGTGGTAGTAGTGGTAGTAGTGGTAGTAGTGGTAGTAGTGGTAGTAGTGGT